CTGTTATGATTACTCAAAAGAAAACTGACACCACTTATTGACAAAATTAGCAGTTCTGTGGTACGACAAATATATGCGCATATCGAGTGGTTACGTTTGAGATGAATTGACATTTTTCGATGTGGGAAAGTGATCCGTTTCAATCCACTGTAATTCTCACCTATTGTCTCAGAATTCAGCAATGTGAAAATGATGAATGCACTGAAAATGATAGATACACTTGCAAGTAGACCATCCAGTGTATTGCTTCAGATTCTGGTTATTTTCGCAGGAAAAGGAAGAATTCAGAGCAAAGTTATGGTTATTTTCTCGATACATTTGTCTGTTTGTTCCTCCTACTCGATGCTTACCGCTTACGTCAGTAGCTGAATATTTCTGTCAGTGGAATGCTGCCTAATCCAATGCATCAATCAAAAGCTAAGACTTTGAATTGAGACGTTTCGAGGTCAAAGTTTTCATGTCTGAAACGTCCCTGTTGCTTTTCAGCTTGAATTCACGCTGAAAACGCTATTTTGCATCGCACATTTCAATTCGTTCTGATATTGTAACTCTCGTCTAATTACATCCTTCCCTCACTTTCCGAGACGGCGACACTCAATCATTCAAGTGTCGTTTGCATTGCGTAACGTTTTCAACATATTCTCTCAATTTCATTTAGTGTGCAGTTGACAGTTCATTAGACGAAAACCAATTTTATGAAATGAAGCTCGAAAATTTTATCACTGAAACACTTCAGTTGGTTCGTTTTTTTTGTTCGGCAACAAATATTTTGTCATGTGTGCACATGTCAAAATTGGTTCATGATACACACACACACACACGCACAGGCCTGTGGTGAAGCAACCATTCAAGAACACTCTCAATGTAACAGTTTTTTTTTCAGCACACTTCCGATTTTCAGCTCTAATGCCAACGACGCAGTCACTTGAATTCAATCCTCTTCTCTCCTTCGTCCTAAAACCGTAAATCGCACTTTAATAGGTCACATCTGAGAAGTACGTTCATCATTTCAAGATCGTCACTGGGATAGGTTTTTGGGACATTTTTTGAAGCAGGAATTTGTTAAGATGAAATATTTTTTCTGGCTCTTCAGTTGGAGCATTCCCTGAAATTTGGTTTTGTTTAGTCTACTGAACAGAGCCATTGAATGCAAACAGCAAAAGATTTGTTCGAGAACGAAAACAAATAAGTGAGCTCGAGCAGGATTAATACACTGAGTGGTGATTGATGAGCTTGGTTTAACTAAGCTTTCCAGTTAGCATTTACAAATAATGAATATTGATGAATCTTAAGAGATGAGTGTCATTCAGCTTGTATTCAGTGCAATCGAAGCTCTTAATCGCACAGATATTGTGCAAATATTTGAACATGTTTTCTGAAACAAATTCTGTTGCCATTTGAAGTTGACATTAAGTCGTTTCCGTTACTCTCATAGAACACCAACTTTCTGTGTTCTTCAACCAGATCTCTCATGTGATCCACTGTTCTCAGAAATTGCCGTATACGTTCTCACGGGTAATGAGCTCGCAGATTATTCAGAGCAAGCTCTCCGAGTTTAGGCGGAAGGAACATTTCCGGTCACCCACAACAAGTACGTTGCCATTTGTTCCACAAGCGAATTGTGATTCCATTGGGTGTCCAATGGATTTAACAGTAGCAGCAGATTTTGCTTGACATGCATAACTTTCGCTATCCAGATATTCTTCGAAAGGCTTTGCAATCGAAATGGAATAGACGCGTCGTGAAACCAATCGAATGCAAATTGCTCCATCAAATCGTTTAATTGACAAAATGTATTCTAAAAATCTCGCTAGTTTAGAGTGACAAACTTACTGTACTTAATCGTAGGCACTAAAACAATTTGAATCGCGTCGTTTGATTGATGCAATCCCTTGCAGTTCTTTTTCTCATTCAAAAAACTGCGCATTCCAATCTGGAAATTTTTGCTCCACTTCAAGATCACTCATTATCAGTCAGTCGGAGATTGCTGAAAAATTGAGATACTTACTCTCATAGCGTACACAACGATGTAGCGGTGGTGATTGCGGCATTAGTTATAGTCAAGCTTATGCTTGAAAGGTTTTTCGATCAGTGAAAATTCATTGGGAGTGCAAGCCGGCCACGCCCTTCAGAAAATAGAGCAGCAAGCACAAGCAAGCACACACCATAAGCACAAACAAGCATATGCATGAGCATCGCCAGCAGTGAAATTCTCATCGTCGGTTTTATCCACATCGAAAGAAGCACCACCACACAAGCTGATAGTCTTCAGCAGTCACAGCACCAGTCGTAGCGCACCATTGCTCGTGCCAACACTCCATCTGCACATCGAAAACAACCACCATCTAACGACAACCTCGATTCTGATGCCTCGATTCTGATCTGATGCTAAAACCGTTCTTTATTCATGTTTACCAATCATCTTTGAGAACAAATGATACGTTTTGATTTAACTATTCTGTTCATATAATAACTATCTTATCACAACATACAATTTGCATATTCAATATCAAGCGATTTCTCGCAGGCATTTGCAACAGCTGTCTTTTCAACATCTTCTTTGCGGATCGTCAACGCAACTTTTCTCACAATCAGTTATTTTACTCATTCGCATCGTTGA